TTAGGGTTTAGGGTTTAGGGTTTAGGGTTTAGGGTTTAGGGTTTAGGGTTTGGGGGTTGCGGGTTGGGGTTTGGGGTAGGGTTTGGGGAGGGGACCGAACGCACCAGGAGGCCGTGGCAGAAACGCCACTCTGCAAGCCGGGTTTAGGGTTTAGGGTTTAGGGTTTAGGGTTTAGGGTTTGGGGTTGAGGCGCTGCTTGCCAGGATTTCCTTCTCGAGAGCGCCAGCGCGGCTTCGACAACAAACGAATGGACTGCGTGGTAAACCCTAAACGCTAAACCCTAAACCCTCGTTCTCGCTGCACTGCTGAGGGCCTCTAGTGTGCGCCTGTGCTTGTTGTGGGTTTTAGGGTTTAGGGTTTAGGGTTTAGGGTTTAGAGTTCCGCATTAGCGGAAGTCCTTGTTCTTGCCGCACTTCTTGTGGCTGTGAATCTGCGTTTGAGCGCGTCCTGGGATTTAGGGTTTAGGGTTTAGCGTCTAGGGTTTAGGGTTTAGGGTTTAGGGTTTAGCGTCTAGGGTTTAGGGTTTAGGGTTTAGGGTTTAGGGTTTGGCTGCAGCTGTCGGCGACTGAGGAGTGCGAGCACTTCGACGAATTCCAGGCTCAAATTGGCGTTGGCTGCTCTTGCAAAAAGGGTTTGAAGCCGGAGAGTCCAAACCAAGATGACTTTTCCTTCATTCGGTAGGGTTTAGGGTTTAGGGTTTAGGGTTTAGGGTTTAGGGTTTGGGGTTGGGGGGTTGGGGTTTATTGGGTTTTCCGGTTGGAGGGTTGTGTGGCGGCGTGGCGCCGGCGCGTGGGCTGCGCCGCCCTCGCGCGGGCCAGGGTTTAGGGTTTAGGGTTTAGGGTTTAGGGTTTAGGGTTTGGGGTTGTGGGGTTTCGGGTGCAGCGAGTTCGTGCGGTTGCTGGCGCGTGGGGTGGGGGAGCGGCTCCTGCTTGCGGGCGCGGAGCCAGGGCGTGGGGTCTGGGGCTTAGGGTTTAGGGTTTAGGGTTTAGGGTTTAGGGTTTAGGGTTTGCAGGTGTTCGAGCTTCGGGGTTTACGGGGTTTTCGACGGCCACGGCCCCTGCGGCCACCAAGCCTCCGACTTCGTCCACCGCGTGCTGCTGCTGCTGCTGCTGTCGCACCCTTTGCTGCGCAGCGACGTTTGTGCTGCACTTCGCGGGGCTTTCCACGCGGTCAAACCCTAAACCCTAAACCCTAAACCCTAAACCCTAAACCCTGGCCCTGCCTAGGCGGGGGGGCGGCGGCCGGCGCCGCC